TATTTGCTTACAGTATTTTAAAATGACGAAAAGTACATTCATGTCACTTTTTTGTCTTTTTTTTTTTCAGATAAACGGTAATCAAACAATTAACGAGAACATCGCTGATAATGGAGGGATCAAACTAGCATTCAATGTAAGATTGTGTTTCAACATTATGCGCAATATTTTCATTAATCAAGTCGTCTTGTGGATTTTTACAAAATTCCAATTTTTCTGACCGCCTAATTGTCAGTTTAACCAGTCATTTTATTTTGCTTTATAAGTGTTATTTTTTTTTTACCTCAGGCTTATAAAACGTTGGTTGACAAAGAAGGCACTGAGGGCGCTCTCCCTGGCCTGGGTCTAAGCGAGGAACAATTGTTCTTCGTCGGTTTTGCACGGGTAAGTATTGTTTCTCATTATTAAATGCAACAATGTTTCTTTTTAACCGGATAAGGGAATAAGTGTCGGTTGATGTGTGCATAAGTTTGTTTAGAATCGCATCTGCTACAGAAGCTTACCATTTGGTTATTAATTAACAAGTACGAAATGTTCAACTTCCTGTCTGCGATGAGAATTACAATTATAGTTATCAACTAATTATTATCTTTTTATTACGACGGATCTGTTTTTTGTTTTTTGTTTTGTTTTTTGTTTTGTTTTTTTGTTTTTTTGTTTTTTTTTTAATCAGCCTTGGTGTAGCATTTACAAGAAGAAAGCAGCGCTTCTTCAAGTTGAGGCTGACACGCATACCTACCCTAAATACAGGCAAGTTAACTTTCGTTTCCTTCAAAAGGTTTTAAGTAACGTTCATTTTGGTTGTGCATTTTTGATGTAGTTCATTAACTCATTAAATCATATCGAAGATGCTGTAGTTTAGGCCAATCAGAAGCCAAACTAGTTTTATTTTGTCTTCTCATGGGAGACGCGGTAGTCTCATGGTTAGTGCGCTCGACTCCGGATCGAGCGCTCTGGATTTGAGCCCTGGCCGGGGACATTATGTTATGTTCTTGGGCAAGACGCTTTACTTTCACAATTTTCTCTCTTTACCCAGGTGTATAAATAAAAATCGGCGAACTTGATGCTGGGCGTAACCCTGCGACGGCCTAGCATCCCATCCGGGGGAGAGTAGAAATACTCCTAGTCGCTTAATGTTACAGAAACCGGGAGCTCCGGTCTGAGTTGGGCCCCCTTGGTTCGTATGCAGACTTTACCTACCTTACCCACTCCACTTTGCCACGCTTGCCACCAGTTGCATGGTTTAGTCCTGATTAGTTTCTTGTAGTTTCCCTGCGCCATAGTATTTGGTAAAAATGGGCCCCTGATTTGGTTGGGGGCTAACTTGGTTTTTTTTATTAACTTCACATAATCCTACAGTACTCTGATCGGAAGTATTTCGTCCGAGCATGCTGTTTAGTGTCCAAAATAACTTCTCGCTAAAGATAATTTGCAGTGGCCTAATGGTCAGCGGGCTAGACTCTGGATCGAGTGGTCCGGGCTCGGACGGTCGATGGGGTCATTGTGTTGCGTTCTTAGGCAAGACACTTTAAAACTCTCACAGCGTCTCTTTCCACTCTGGCCACAGTAACGTTGCTAGTAGTTCAAAGGGGTGGATAATGCCATCCATTGGATAAATCACTTTCCATTAGGTAAGTCTTGACAGTGATTTATTCAGTGGATAGTGTTAACTATCCTAGCCTTTGAACATTTGGGATAACGTGTACAATAAGGTACCGGCGAACTGTAAGGGTAACGCACCAAAATGCTGAGGAGTGGAAACTAGCGATCCAGGGGAACTTTCCTATCAAGGGGAAGGAACAATGCTACAACTCGCTCGATACTACAAAACCGGAATAAGCCTCGGCATTTGATTGCCAGAAGGTTCACGAAGACGTTTATCCTTTGCACTCTTTTCGAGATAACTTTGTGCATACCGAAACGTTTGTTTTCTTTTCAGGATAATCGGCACTCTTCATAACTACGATAAGTTTGCGGAGGCTTTCCACTGCGAACCTGGTTCCCCTATGAACCCAGAGAAAAAGTGTACCTTGTGGTGATTGGACTCTCCGTTCTTTTCTCGTGAAACATTTATGAAATACCAGAACACTGTACTGGGGAGGAAATAATTATTGGATTCGGATGTCGCATGATCAGTGGAGAGAATTACCGAGGGCGTGTATGCATACAATCGAACAAGCAAACAACCAGACCAACAAACAGATATCATGCTTGATAAATTCGATACTGTGCGAAAAGCTTATTACAAATATCTGACCAATTCTACTCGTTCCATATCTGCCAGGCTTCAGCAAAAAGTTTCTATTAGTCCTTCTTTTTAATTATAATGTTGATTCTTCATACGTAGCTTGAAGTAACGTCACACGCGGACAGTAAACGCTATCTACATGTTCTCTCGTTCTTGTTAGATAGTCTTTTTTTTTTTTCCATTTTTTTTTCTCTAGACTCTTGTCTATGTGTTTTAAAAGAAGCTATGTTCTTCATTCTGCAATGTAGACAACCCTGATTGTAGTATAATGAGAGAAATTAAGTGTCTGTTATATCTAGAATGTACACTTTCTTGTGCTAAAAATAGATCTTTGCACCGCGCGCCCGAACACAATTTCTGCAACGCGTGATAGCCACTTTTCAGAAATGACTTGGGAATGTAGCCTTTACATCGCTGCAAAAATTTCAGTTTATTATTAGTGATAGTAGTTGGACCTCGTGTCGTACAATTCAGGGAGTAATCGCGAGAGTAATTTCAAAATCGCACGAGCGCGAAGCGCGAGGCCGTTCTGAAATTCGAAATTACGAGAACAATTACTCCAATACGAGGTCTAATAAGCCACTTTCGATGTATTAAAATTCGGCCCGATAGTGAGGCCTAGAGGACACAAACAAAAGAAATAAATAAACATGTTCAGTACAATTTCTTTTGTTTCTGTCCTCTGGGCCTCGCTGCCAAGCTGAATTTTAATATATCGAAAGTGGGCTATTACTAATTAATCGTATCTATAACAAAATATGGAATTAAAAATTTGTTTCAAGAACTTATTTTGAGAGAAAACGTATGTAGCGCTTTTCATAAGTTTTAAAAACTGTAGGGATCATTGCGAAGGAAGCCATTAGAGCGCACGTAATGTGCATACTCCACTTTAAATACACGCCACGCCCTTGCAAAACTATGTTGAGTTTATCTTGCTAAAAAGCAAACCAGAAAAACCAGTTTAATCAACAAAGGTTAATCTTTAAACCGGGTGTGTGTGTTTAAAAAATTTATAATTTAACATATGCATTAACCTGACAATCTACAGTCATATTAAAATGATCGCTTGCTGAAAAGACATAAATGAAAAAAAAAGCAGTATAAAAGGTTTTGTAAGTAAGTCTTAAATTACAATTAACTCGCTACCGCTATCGGAAAAGAAGGACAAAAACGACCACAGCGCTAGCGTTGGTGTCGCTTGTTTTATGATTACTTTCTACGAAGTACAAATTTATACGCATAATAATTTAGATATTTCTTAAACAACTAGCTTACTGCTAGCAATAAACCGTACCGTAATCTCCAACTTTATTTCAATTTATATCATGGGTAAAAATAAACACAATTGTTTTATAAAGCACTGTTAACTTAAGATTGTCTTCTTACGATAGTCTCATGTTGAAACAAAGGCCACAATAAAGCTGGACGTTGTTTTTTTAGAATTATAATTTAAAAAATAAAGGACCTGATTTTGATTTGCTATGACTTAAACTTCATTAGTTTAACTTCTCAGTTGCAGTTATTTTTTTAATAAATTATGAATGAAACTCCTTTTAGTGTAGCATAGAATTGAGTATGATAAACTATATTTCACATTTAATCTGGTCGAAAGTGCCGCTCGGAGTTAAGTTTTATTTTAATTAGTTACCGTCTCCTCATGCACCCAATACACTTTTCTACATTGCAGATTGTGCTGTAGATTAAGCTAGTCCGTTATTAAACAAACAAAAAAAACAATTAAGTTTGAAGCCTCAAGATTTTTAATGATTATATGTACTAATTACGTACAAAAAAACAACAGGAATATGTAAAATAACAATTCAGTGTTCAAAAAACAAGAAATAGAAATAAGATATAGTCAAGAAAAAATGAACAGAATGGCTAAAGTACCTGAGGCCTTGCGTGAGCAACTCCGATGGTTTCGTTTGTTATCAAATAAAGATTGTAATATCACGAAACTGTTATTATTTGCATGATGTTATTTCAAAGCAAGCACCGCAAAATAATAGAGATTTTTGTAAATAAACAAATTAATCTTTACTTCTCTGAAAGTTATTAAATGTTGTAATGCAACTGACAAGTAACATAATTTTAAAAAAAGCGCCTGGCAGGCACATCTTTCCAGATTTTTGCTGTTTTTTTTTTTGGCTGTTGTTGTCTGTTGTCTTGTTTATTTAACATTGCGTTTTGTGTGCGTGAGTAGAACACACAAAAAAGACAATGTGAAGTGGACACAACTGAGACTTCTCACTGATCGTACGACATATGATCTTTTTCCCACGATAACTAATTACATTTGCATCAATATTATCCACTTTTGTTTAACATTGTATTGAGGTGTATTTTCTCAACTGGAGTACTTCAATATTTTTACAGAATTACTTGACAATATAGATTTAATTATCAGCTGTCCGATGTAAGTTTTTTTTGCTTTTGCACCTTTACAGCAACACAGAGATAGCAATTCATAGCAATACTGAGAACAGATTGAAAACGATTTCGTGCATTGTCTGATTAAAAGTTTAAAAATGTATGAGCTTTCTGCCGCCACTCCGCCACTCAGTATACATTTTAAAACTATTTTAACCAGAGAACGAACGTATCACAAAGATTGAAATAAGGGGTGGACCCCTAGATTATTGATGGGGGAAGGGGTGCATAACCCTCAGCTTCTTCGGCGGATGACAGCGTCGGCAATATACATTTAAAATCTGAAGAGTCTGCTTGATTTTTGTTTTGGTGGCGAGGAGG